GGTGGCAGACATGAGTTTCCTCATCCACCGTTTTATTGATCAAGCAGAGGATGTTTAAAACCAGCTAGCCCGTTTGTGTGAGTAAAGTGTGGCCCGCGGATAATGGAGACCACCGGATACATCAGTTCTTATTTGCAAAAATAATGAGAAGTGCACGATTTCTCGGGTACCTACATACATGGACCTACGTAAAAGTTCATGTACAATCAGATGAGCAATCAGGCCCTAGTTTTGTGACCCAAAGTAATCATAAACTAGACGACTACTATAAGGCGATATTCTCACCAGAATGAATTCGATGTACGAATTTTTGAGAGGCATTGCTATTGATTTTTTCTGTCAATGATCGATACTGACCTTCAAGGTTATAGTCTCTTTGGGGTGGAATAAATTGACTTGCTACCAAAGCCTGGGCGGTTTTAGCCCAAGTGAGTGTCTGTGTAAATAAAAGGTTGCTATCTGGGGCACAGATGTATCTGGTGCTTTTGATATAACACTGTTTCATTGAAAAATCTACAGTGTCTGCACAAATCGATGCTGGGACGTAAAAAATTCTAAGTTTACTATGAACCTTCATTGAACATATATCACCACGTATATTCTAACAGCTATAGACTTTGGCCAGTTGTGTCGGTTTGAAATTACGTCGAGGTGTAAAAGAGGGGTAGACGCACAGTCCCTTTATTTCGGATCAATGGAAATGTAACTAGGACCGTTTATTTGCCAATCATATGGACCGGACTAGATCATTAATTTCTTAACAACATATACACTAAGTACAAAACTCACAGTTGGATTTCTACGATCTATTCATCAAAATCCGGTTCACGGAAGAAGCCATAATACATTTCCAGCAATTCTATTGTGAAAACATGTGGAAGACCTCTCTTAGTCGATACGTTTCGTATTTTTCCGTGATTTCCTATCTGTCGAGATACCAACTAGTCCAGATAGAATTCTATTAGATCTTGCGGGAATTTTAATGTTGCTGAGAATTCAGAAATGATCAAACTGGTAAATGGTTTCTTAACTTTTTGGAACTGCTTGGGCTGGTCATTTTTGTCCTATGGGCCGCTTTCTCGATGCACCCCCAATCATACACGAGGTAATATTCGGTACATGTATTCACGATCGATTCAGCATACAACACATGGCATCAGTTATTGAAAAATGTCAGGACGGAAAATATAGTTGCAGAAAGATCATCTACTGACCGTGCTAAGAGTGTTCCAGTCTCGATCGAGGTTTGAGAACCTGCAATTATTCACCTGCTGTCACATTACTCTTCATGAGAGAACGTGTTTTACCATTTACTATTAAATTCGGTTGATAACTAACTCAATTCAGATCATGCCATGAAACTTCAATTTGGTACAACGCGCAATTTTTACCATATATCCCACGTGTTCGTCACGTGTTACTGGAATGCAAGACATGTTTGCTTCTGTCATTTAAAGGTGTGACAACCAGCGGAAGAATTACCGTGATATCGTACCACCGTAGTTCCACCTTAGCTGACAAAATGTCTACCTTCAGTTAGTGTTTAAGAGACACTCAGCCAAAACTTACCGGAACTCTCATTCGTAACCTTGTTCGATTCCAAAGTTCACCTGGTGTTTTGATTGAAAGGGTGTTAAACATATCGAAGTACGTTTCAGCACTACTCATGAGGCCGATTGCATCCAAAGAATATGGGTTTTCACAACTTTCATCGTTCTTGAGATACGTCAGGCTTGCCTAGCCTCCGAACTTTTTTCAAGCTTATCTTATATGTATACTGCAAGGTTTTTGTATTCTGCGGTAAAAACCCCCTTGCAAACTTACCTGATGTTCATGGGTACTTAGCTGGACTTCATCTGAATCTATTCCAGAATTCGATCTTTACCCGAGGAACAACGTTGAAGAAAGTTAACGAACTCTGTCTACCGAATGAACCCAAGAAGAACGAAACAGTTAGTCAGCTGTCCAGATTTTTCGCTGATCTTTTGGGTAGCACTAAATGAGAATCTCTTTTAATAACTTCTAGTGGTACAACATCAACGTGCTGTTGACCTTCTGATTGATGACTTTTGCGGGCGTATTTGATGTGTTCTTACCCGGAGGACACGTTATAGTACTATTTATGCTGGTTTTTACTCATTCTTGTTTACTCAATGAACAGTAGGTCACTTACTAGGCTTATGCTGTTTCACTAGTAAATTTCTTCACTCATTAAGGTGGGCGAGTTGGTGGTATAAATAAGTGACCAGACCACGTATGGCCCTACACAAACCAGCACCAGTATCGATCACTCACTAAGGGCATGTGATCGCATCATGACTCCCACCAGTATGTATTATCAGCTAGTTTTATTTGTCAGTTCCAAATTTTCTGCGCTTATGTTGTGCTGTGAGTGAAGTGGTACCGATTTAAACGGATACTGACTATATCGAGATCCTATTTAAAGGTTACTGAAGTTCACTCGACCATTGATCGTACAACTGGAGGCTCGCAACCTCCAATCAGCTTACTATGCGCAATAGAGGAAGGGAGTTATTGATCCATTACGAAAGTGTAATACTATCTGTTCATCTTCGTGCACTGCAAACCGAACTGGCATCTCGGGAATATAACAACGATGGGCTTCTAAGTTAACTCCTGAGGTGTCTTGCAGTAATAAAACTTTTTAAAACTCCGTCTCTCCATTCTGACAAGTATTCTGGACACTGTTGCAACCATTGTTCAACAACTGCATGCTTACACACGTATCCAGCTTCAATACTTCGCTGCTGTAATAAGAGCTCCTCAGGCGATAAAGTGTATCACGGACGGATAGTTTACTGTTTCAAACTTTCACCATAATTTTAAACCACCCATGCACTCCCAGTCTGTCACCAAGTTCGGTTCTCATGTCAAACTCATTGAGAAATCTTGTCTAGGTTGTCGAGTTCGAGGGTAGCTCCCTTGATTGATTGCTGCCACTTATTCAAAACCACTTCAGAGTATTCTTCCAAAGTTACTGGGGGGTAATCCAAGTTGCCCTATTCACAGCTGTCGTAAACTTTTCAGATAAATTGCCCGTGAATAACGATCTCCTTACATACTACTCATTAATGACGCTTTAGTGTAGCACTCTTCTGATTTCCCAAAAAATGGGGCCACTTTGTCGGAGAACCAGTGTCGTTTAGAATGAACACTGAAATGAAAAATTCCGGCCTTTACGTGTTCAGACTGCTGTTAAGAAGTAGCGTGTAAAAAGCAAACTGTACAGTTAAACTAAATCGTCGATAAGCCTGGTTGATAGCTTGTCCTTGGCGCCAGCAGTCCGACCTGATACAATGACTGTATTTACACAAATGAGTTGGGGTTTAGGTCAACAACATAGGAGAACAAAGGAGGCTTCGGGTATGCATGTTTGTCGGTGAGGTCAGCGGGATAACTGGAGGACAAAACAACCAGGATAAGTTAGATTCCACTTCATTCCGATTGTCCCTCTGTATGCGAAATCAAGCAGGACAGCGAAACGAGCACGTTTGTTGCTAATTGGACCATTGGAGCCTGTTAGATTGAGTGACGCAATGACTAACTCCCTTTATCGACTTGGTTGCGCTGCAGTATGGAAATCAAGCCTATTGTTTTCACTGACACTCTTCGTCTGTTTTTCTGGAATTCTTTTGAAGATGCTTGGCGGGGAATTCATCCGATATCATTTTATTCCCAGCAGCGCTGTGAATCCTTATTGAAGCATTCTTTCAGAAGTGGGTAAAGTAGTACCCCACAAAAAAAACTACCAACGTGGGACATGCATTGGGTAATACATCTGAGCAGATGGTTCACGTTTCACCTGAAGACACTAGGCCAGAGGTCATCCAAACGCGGGCGCTCAACCAGCCGCCATTTCTCCTAAGAACTATATAATATGTGGCTAAGAGTGACTTTTTGTCGCTTCCAATCGTGCTATGCCGAGCGGCCGAACGCCCGAGTTGGTTAGATTGACCATGACCTGGGAAGTTTGAGGTTGCGGCTAACCCTGTTTAAGTTTTGTATTTTAGTATCACCCTGTTGTTATACCTGGTTTATTGGGTTGAAATATTTCAACACAAATCGATAAATGCCCATAATATGAAATTCCTGTCAGAATGGAGGAATTATTTATCCATTTTCTACTTTTCCCAGCAGATCATCGCGAGCCGCATGCAGAATTATCGATCAGTTTTGTTCGAATTGACAGAGGAAGCTAGCCCCGCTGTTTCCAAAGCCTCAAGCTGTCGAATGTGAGAGGATGACTCATCACTTCCCATGACATAAGCTGTAAGCATGTCCTAAATTTTTCCAATGTGATATTTCCCATGTCTGCGCTTAAATAAACTGGTGTTGGGGTAGGATATTGGCGACACGGAATCATTTTCATGGAAAAGAACTGCGTCAAACTCTCACTATGTGAAACTCAGTGTGTCCTTGCGCTGAGGTTAAGCGGGTGAACAAGTAAATGCGGGTAGGATATTGGCGACACGGAATAATTTTCATGGAAAAGAACTACGTCAAACTCTCACTATGTGAAGCTCAGTGTGTCCTTGTGCTGAGGTTAAGCGGGTGAACAAGTAAATGGGGCCTTACCGTAAACTTAATGCAAATGACCAGTTTTTCAGGTCTTTGAGAAAACAAAGCAGACGAACTTGTCCTAATCTCTTACGGAACATGTCACCAAGAATGTTTTTTCCTACTTGTAAAGAAATTCATCAGTAACAGCAACATCAGTGAAGATTGAAGACCAGCGTTTCGATTTGTAATCAGATCGAGTACACTTCAAAAGATAGTGAGAATGATCAGTGCTTTCCCCATATCACTCCTTCATTTTCACCCTAAGGTAATACAGACTACTGGATACGCTAGGTTTGTGTACATGAATCCGGAAAGTTTCTAACAAAAGTTGTAGACACTGGGGGTGAAATTCAGCGAACCAATTTGATGTGGTTACGGTCAGAGTGATTTTGAATAAAAATGAACTACAGGTGGCTTACGCTTAAGATCTCCAGGTCCAATGAAGAAAACAGAAGTATTTTAAAGTCCAAGGGGGATCTGATTATAAAATCCTCAAACGCGGTTGCGTCTTTCTCTCATTCACGCTGGATTCGAGGTCCACTCTCAGGCGTTGACAACAGTAACTACTCCGGACTGTTTTTAGGGCACGTGGTACGAGTGTCCCAAACCAGTCTGCCTAACCAGGAGAATGAGAACGGTGAAGCGTTTGAGCAGTAAGTCGAATGACCAACCGATGGCTCCGGATACAGACCTGACTAAATAACTGGCAGCGTGGCTGTTGGACGCGGGTAGAGAAACAGGGACAGGCGAGCAGACACGAGATCGTTGGCCAGACAGTCCAAACTCGTCCGTACAAAATTTGGGACAGGTTGAGATTGGGAGAGACAGGGCCGGAGAGCGAAACACGAGATGGGCGCGGAATATACTTATTCCACTACGCACATTAGAACATATCGATTTTCAGTTTGAATCAATTTGAGCTGATACTATTCGATCTTGATGGCATAATGCGACGAATGATCGGTGCTTATGGAAGTGCCACGGTTCAGATAGACAAGTAATCAACCAGGTACGTTAGAATTATAATCTCTGAGTATGGTACATTTGTTGATAGACCTCAATTCTGGGCAATATATTTGGATTCCCCATTTTTATGGAATAGAAGAGTAATAATAATTCGCTTATCTACATCTGGTGGATAATGAGTTTCAACTGGGATGAACTGAAAAACCATTTCTGCAGAGTCAACCGTTGCAATGCATTTAGCTTGTGAGTGGAACGTAATTCTACCAACTCTGCCCACTTTGTGTGTTCGACTCGTCGGAGCATGTTGACCCTTGATGCCGCATTGCACAACCCCCATACACTCAGGAGCTCTCGATAATTGAAAACTCTCTAATTTTTGTGTTGTTTAGGAGATAATGGGCCGCGGTACAATTCCAGAATGCCGCTAATAGATCCGAATTGGAGTTGGGATGATTACACAAAAGTTTAACTGAGTAAACCTTATTGAGTTCGCCTCTCGTATTGGTTCCCTACGACCGCACGGTGTTTCCTATCGTACATTAAGCAACTTTAGGTACCATATCCGAAAGCGAATGTCAAAACGTTACTAGACATTGACAGAAAGACTTTAGAACTACCCGTGTACATTGGAAAAATGCAAGGTATTTGAAAACACTGAGTCTTTCCATCACAAGTTCTTGTTTTCAAGTACTGGATCGAATGGCTACAGCGTTACCAGGCCCTGAAACTGGGTCAGTTGTTGACCTTGCCCATGACAAACACGCATGTTCCATGAGCAAGCTACCCAGAAGAAAACAGTGATGAACTATAATTCTGATCACTTGTGCACAGCCTGCTTTTCGCAAGTACGTGTTGGTTTTGTCAATTCACGGAAATTTGACCGTACTTTTGAAGCCAATATTGTGACCCACCTATCAAGAAACCAGTATTCATAATGTTAGGTTCTTGTTATGCTCTTGTTTTTTTTGGCAATGTTAGCTCTTTGTAGTTTGTAGTTATGTGAGCTGGAATCAAACAGTAGTCAGAAAACCTTATGCCACATGCAAAAAGCACATTTTTGTTTGATCAGACCGTGGCGGCAGCAGTGTTGCTTCTTCGAACTGCGCAAGTGACTTAATCTGTGTTGTGTGTTTGACTTCAAAAACGTTGATGACACCCCGGTCTCACTAGTTTGAGCTGGAATGCCTGGTCGAATCAGACAGTTCTAACAAAAAAAAATTCTTCATGTTATTGATTTCCCCCACTTTATTCTTCTCGACAGCGGTCTTTACAGTGCTGTCTCTTCAATCCTTCAAAAATAAATCAATGATTCCGTGTTTGGGATTGGTATCCGGCAAAAACTTCAATGGACTTCAAAGAGAGAATGGTATTTGTCGTACAGATAGCAGATAGTCGGTATTCTCCTGTTTTACCCAACGCGTTCACGAATGCAGTAAATGATGAGAGAATGCGGCTAAAAGAATTCAAAGCGTGGATTTGCAGATATGTTAAAGTACTCGAGATTTCGTCCGATGTTGTAAGTGGTTTACTGTGAGGATGAACAAGAGCAATAACGTTTTGAGCGTGAATTTGTAAGTATACTTCGAACTCAAGCTGTTCCGTGGCTATTTTGTTCCAATAAATCGTTACAAAAAATTTGGAAGGCAACGAAGAAAAGTGCTGACAATCTGAAAATAGTTATCTCAACGCCGTCGGTAGCAACATCAGGCGCTGGATATGAGCTGATCCACGAAGGTGATCACGAAATCCATTTACGTCACATAACGCAGACCCGGCTCAGGTGTAGAACACTCGTTGTCATGTTGGTCTTTGAGAAATGTTTTCACAATTACCTCAATGGACACTGGTGTTTCAACCCAAAGCTACAACAATTTTAATCGAAGAGATCAAAGTTTATCAATTCACAAAAAAATGCAGATCTAATGCAGTTAACCATTCCGGTCATTTATGTGCAACTCTAAGGTTTTCACATACAACGAACTATGGTTTCGAAGCCAATGACGAAAAGTTTGCGAGCTAACTGCCAGGTTTGGCGAAACAAATCCAATTAACTGTCAATCAATATTGTGCGAATCGGACGCCAGTCACTATTGCTCACGTAATCTTGCATCACCACTCGCATGCCGCTCCGTCAAAACGCGAGAATGGCACTGCCATGTGCGTCGTCACAGCTACTGTTTGCATGTGTCACGTGACGGTCTCAAAAAAGGGCTCCATGTTTACGGCACTCAGCTGAATTTATCAGCTGCAAACCGTGTACAGGTTACAATAGTCCCAGTTGCTGCAAGAAGTTTTGACGTTTTGAAAGCAAAAGTTTATGCAATCTGGTTGGATAGGAATAACCATGCTCGCCCGAACGTGTCTCCCCTTAAACTGATAGTGCTGCAATCCCCTCTTTTCTAGATTTTCCTCATATTGTTGTATTCGGAATGATTCGTGGAAGATGTCGTATGGAAATGAATATGAAATTCGAATGTTGAACCTTGTCTACTAATCAGCTAGCTTTCTTATTTGGGGAAGAGGAGAAAGGGTAGGAAATTCTCTATCGGTGATCGCGTGAACTTCTTTTTCGCTCGTTTAATTTAAGGTAAGGTACCAAACCCGTTCCGGTTCAGAGTGACCACCGCAGTTGGCTGCGTTGGGTTTATCCTCCCTCTCTAGACCGCAGTGGATGAAAAGAAGGCATTGGATACTCTAATAGCATTTCAGAATGGAGAATCACAGAATGTGAATGACCCCATTTTCATGGTTTAATCGACACCCGTGTTGAAGTCCGACATGCCAAATACCTGTCTTATTGTTGACATCTTTGTTGCGTAGAATCATTCAAACTATCAGCGTCCACATTTTATTACTGTTTTGGGTGTGGATTGAGAAGACCATATACCCACGAGCCGTTGCATCCAACGGATACCAGTCACATATCTGTACCATATCGTCAGTTAGTTGATCGATATCAACCCCAAGTGGTTTTCGCATCACGTGTATAGTGTGTGTGCATCAATCACTCGGAGTATTCCTTCGCACTGAAACAGTGCGCTCCACGGTGAGTTCAGTTTACCACTTCTCTTTCGTTGTAGAACTTTGCCGAGATTTCGGTTACTTTCCCCGTATTCGGACTCAGTTGTTAAAGCCTGTAGATGACTGTACTATTCCGTTTAAAACACAGCTGGTTTGCAGGCAGGATGTGCGTTCAATGAAAGCGTCGTGAAAAACACCGCGGGAGTCCACTGCATCATCATCACCATCATCATCATCATCGGCACCACAACACTAGCGTTCAACATTGACGCTTCGCCCTTCACACAGCCATGTGTTATTCGAGAGCCTCAATGCGAAGAAAAGGATAAGAACTGAAGGCGAAGGGACCTAGTGCAGAACTACTACTCTAATTCTGTGGTGCTAACACCTCCAGACAATCACTCAGGCAGTCTGGATAGAAACTTACAAGAAGTACTCCGCTAATGAACGTCAAAGGGGACAACATGCACTAATTTCCAAACCAAGGGCAGTCTGGTAGAAACTTACAAGAAGTACTCCGCTAATGAACGTCAAAGGGGACAACATGCACTAATTTCCAAACCAAGTTGCTGTTAACGAGGGGTTCAACTTCATCCCAGCTGATCCTCTAGTTTGAACGAGAGACCATGTCTGCTTAAGGTACAGATATCTAAGTTGAGACTGCGTGAGAAGCACCTGCGTGTCTATCTTTGTAGAAACTGAAAACTGGCATCAGAATAGCTTCGCCCATTGCACGGCAAAAGGAACCCATAGCCTGTACTGCTCCAAAAGTGACCGTAGTACTAGCCTCACAGAAATGCCCACTGTTCATAAAATGAGACTCAAGCATAATGCGAGGACACATGGATTCCCCTTGCATGTGGATCATAGTGAGTGGATGGTTATCCACATCACGTCAACGATACCGCTTTTCAGTCTGAATGCCATAAAACTTCCCCTAATCCTTCAACTGTCTCCTGGGTTGGGACATAAACGTTCGCAAATTGATTACCAAGTTTTTATTGAACAGATCCACAATCACCTGATTACGGACCATCATAAAATTCCTCTCAAGTCATTTCCGTGTGTCCTGTTCAAGGATTGGGACCGTAAAAACAAGACCATAGGGGAGATTCGCGTGAACAACTTCAAAAATGCGCCTGTGCATTCGTATTCCCGTAGTTAACATTGAACCACACTGTATGACTCACGGTTGAAACTCAGCAAAGCAAGAAAGTTTCACACAGTTCTGACTACTAGAAACTCGGCGCTCCCAAAATATGTCTCGGTTCAAATGGATTCTTTTCCACTAGAATGTTTTCAGCTGTTTGAGGAATTTTCCACCTTGATCACTCCAAACACAAACCGAAGCACTGTTTCCTCGTGTTGAGTGAGTGCGAGTTGCACTGAAGTTGAACAACCATGCTGCTTCCTTTCAGACAATCGCTGACCTTGTGTTCACTCCTCCTCAGTCATTAACAGCCGGGCTACTGTCGAGCTGAGGTGATCATGAGCAAACACTTCACATATGCTTACCGGCACCAAAAACGGTCCAAATTCTGGAAACACTCTTAAGTAGTTCAAAAGGAAAGGTTTGCGGGAAAGATGAATGTCTTGGTCGGATTGTCACAAAGGACTAGAATGACTTTTTGGGAAGGGCTGATTAGACTTACCTAATGCTTAAGCATGCACCTGGCATCCACAG